CTTGGTGCTGTTCATTGCTTTATTGAATCACGCTCTCATTTTTCTCTTTAATGTCTATTCTCTTTGTCTAATCCCAAGTTTAATTCTTTTTACTCGTTTCAGGTTCTAGAGCTTGCTGGTAACGCAGCGAGAGACAACAAGAAGAATCGAATTGTTCCAAGACACATCCAACTAGCAGTGAGGAATGATGAGGAGCTAAGCAAGCTTTTGGGTTCGGTTACCATTGCAAACGGAGGTGTTTTGCCCAACATTCACCAAACCCTTCTTCCCAAGAAAATGGGAAAGGGCAAGGGTGATATTGGATCTGCATCTCAGGAGTTTTAGGCCTCTTTTTCTTGGTCTTTTGTTTTGTTTTTGGGTTTTTATTTTAACAGTTGTATAATATAGGATGGTTTAGTGTTAGGGTTCTCTGATTTTGGGGTTCTGAACTCGTTTATGGTATCTTTTTGAGCAAAGCAGTAATGTGTCAAGTTAATTATATTGAATTTACATGGTTCTTTTTTCCTGTTCTTTCTCTCATTGTTTTGGGAGTTTAATCTGCCTTGGTCTGTTTGCAAAGTTCTGTGGTATAAGAAATCATCAGAAACAATGGTTTTTGTCTGAATTTCCTTTCCTGGATGAGCAAGGACCGATCAAGATGATTTTGCAGACTGTACAATCTTCATGTATTGCTCATTGGATCATGCTAAATGTAAAAACAGAGCAATCTAAGAGTTCAAGTTGAACTAAAAGGTTCTAATCATAGCCAACTTCCATGCAATTTGAGCATGAAGTATAGAAGACAGTTTTAATTATGATGCTAGTTACATCATGGGCAATGAATTGAAGAAATTTTTGCTTGTGGAAACCACTCTACAACTGTGCAGGCCACTCTCACAAAGGACAGCAGATTGACGGATGCTCTGATACAGCTTGGGAAGCAGCTCGATTTGCCTCCCAACATCAGCTTCTTCTATTGTAATAGTATTTGATGCAGCCCATTTAACTTGATCATCTGCTTGACTTTCAGTGTAACCCAACCACCTAAGTACTTTATCCAGCTGCTTCCATTAATGGGAAGCACTGGCAGTTAGTAATCTGAAAATACCTCATGGCAACATCATTTGAGTAGAAGAATGTACCTTGTCAACATCATTACGGAGTCCCTCTATGGATCCAAATTGTAGATGCTCAGCGACTAGGCTTCCTAAGACCACGCATAAAAAGTTGTTCAGATTCTGCAAAGCATAATATCAGGCAGAAATACGATGCGAGTAATGCTCTTCATATGATTAATAAGACCATTGCACTTGGTATGCGTGCGCGTCTCAGGTTTGTAGAATGCACTCTGTTTGACTGTACCTATGAGGCTGTGACTTTGGAACAAAGCTTGAGTTCTATGAATTGTCAATATTAGCATGCTTGTGATTCGTCTCTTCCCACATTTCTTCCCTCACCTTCAGTGATATTTTGGAAATGGAAATACTGCAAATAAACCAAATTCCATGCACTGTATACCATAAAGACTTGGAGACCATTTCATTCTTTAATAATTTTTCTTTTCCTTAGTCATCACCTACACATGATACTAAAAGAAAAGCATTACAAAAGAACAGATGAACAAATTATTCCTGTTAGACTATCAAACTATAGTTAATAGTTTTTGTTAGTACCAGCTGAAGTTGCTTCATCTCTTGCTATCCTACAAGTCATCTATTATCTGATTTCTATTGTGCTTTTCGGACAAGCTTTCAGTCAATTCTTCTGTTAGCCCTCGAACCTAGGAACTTAATGATGCGGGTGCAGCATGCATCTGGCCACCAAGACCAAAGAAGGGCCCTCAAACAATTGGTAGAACCCAAGAGTTGCAGAATAGTGGACGCTAACTGGAGAAAAAGAGAGCTTCTCATCTTGTTTGAAATGCTACGAGCACTCGCCTGCAAGGTGCAGATATACATAACTTATAAGTTGTCTTAGCAAGTTAGCATTACCATCATAAGTTTAACAAAGGATAAATATAACGCTACACAATTTTATAAATGGATTATAGAGTGCCATATTCATAATAGATATTCAATGTATGTTTTTACTCGAATTAGATATTCAAGGGCACTTAGCAAAAAAGTGAAGGAAGGAGATTCTAAAATTATACAAATTTAGCATTTAAGAACATTGGTGGATCATAAAGAGAAAATCTTAAAGAATTTAGAAATGAGATCAACAAATGCCTTGGAACAAGTAAAAGATGGAAATTAATAAATACCTTTTCACTGAAAAGAGGCAACTCATCATGTTGAGCCCTAGAGGTAGAGCCACTTTTGTCTTCAGAACAAAAGCTAATGAGCTGCGGTAGATTATGAAGTCTCAAAGATCGTAATTGAAAAAATTCATTTGTATCGTCTGCACCATCATCATTAATGATATATTGGATCATCGAACCATTTTGGGTATGGAGATTTTTCAAATACGGTAAGCTTTCTTCATCTATGAACTATTGCATTGCAATCTTGATACCTTCAAGTTCATCTAAATATAGACCGTCAAGTTTCTTCAACAACAACTTAATTTCATGACCCAAATGATCAATGCTCGTACTTAACTTGAGTTTCAGAGTCCTTGAATGCTCAAACTCACCAAATCATTCCCATTCCTTCCCTATGAAACTCTTGTATCTTTCCAACTTTTGCAACTCTTTAAAGAGCAAGCCCCTTGACATGGCCTCGGCATCAGGAATATGGACTTCTAAAGTGGTCAAACAAGACAAAGTATTCAATTCAGCAAGACTAGCATTGCTTTGTTGGTTGGCATGTCCCCCTACTTCCCATTGAATAAAAGTGCCACCCATATATAATTCTTCTAACCTTGACAAACTTGATAAGACACCTGGTGGAATTATTTTGAGTTTTGTACAATCACTTAAATCTAATAACTTCAGCTTAGCCAGTTGCTTAATTTCATTAGGTAGAATTGTAATATCAGATTTCCAAAGGCTAAGAATTTCTAAATTCTTGAGCTCTCCGATAATGGTTATATCTCCGAATTTACATTGATGTAGGCACAATGTACGAAGGCTTGTTAGGAAACAAATTGATGAAGGTAAAGAAGAAAAATGCATTTTAGACAAATCTAAGACCTTAAGATTTGTTGTTTCCCTAAAGAAGTTAGGTGGCACTTTCAAGAAAAGATCCTTGCTAGACATCATGAAAAGAACAAGCTGTGGACAATTCAACTCATAGGGTAGCTCTCCAATTACACTAGGATATCGCAAATGAATCTTGTTCAACTTTCTCATTGTCTCTCCATCAGGCCAATCTTTCAGAACATCTTCCTCATTTAATGCAAAGACGTGATTCTCTGAAGAAGCGATTGACATGGCGACATCATAAACAAGATCATTCATATCAAAGCATCGGTAATTTATGTTACTATCAAGTAACAAACAAGAGGCTTTGAGATTACTCACCACTGTTAACAACCTATTTCGTGCTTCCTCCACGGTGTTGACACCATTAATTAAACCCAAACCAGTGGCATATATCAACAAGTATTCGATGCTACCATGACGCAATAGACTGCAAAGCAGGAAAACCTGTTTAAGTTCTTCACTTTCTAAATGATTGTAACTCAACTCTACAGCTGAATATATGGCTGCAGATATCCCAGTGAAGTTGTTTAAGGAAGGCCTCTGTAGTTGCCTTAAAGCATCCTTCCAAGCATATAAACTTTTATTTCTCAATGCCCTTGCAACTGTTGCAATGGCCAGCGGCAATCTCGCACATCTTTTGGCTACCTCAATTGCTGTAGATCTCAACTCAGCACTTTCAACATTGTCCCCAGCCATTCTTAAACAAGAGCCAAGCTTCTTCATCGTCTAAATTATCAACCTTGCAAAAGTTTTCTCAGCATCCATCTCATTGAGAAGAACATTTGATCTTTGACGTGAACAATATCTTGCATCCCTTGTGTTGGTTTAAATGGAATTCCAACTTCCTCCAGATCTAGTCTTTTCCAAATATATCTAAAAACAACAAGAACCTTCTTCTCTTTCTTCAACCTTTCGCACAATCTACGTGCTCTTACAACCGTACTCTTATCTTCCAGTCTGAGACCCAATAATTCTGCAATTTGATCTTGAATTTTTTGAATGTCAGGAGTCTGAGTCACATTTACGGTAACCACAGAATCAAATAGCTTAAGTTCTTGGACTTGTCTGGAAACTTCATTGACTAGTGATGTTTTACCCACACCAGCCAACCCGTACACCCCTATCATGCTGATAAGAGCATCTTTCACTGCCTCCATGACATCGTTGAAAACCTTTTCTCTTGATTTAAAGGTCTCAAAGTCTTTGGGAGATGCGTCCAATAGAGCTTCTGGAACATCACGGTATCCCACTCTGTTAAATAGACATTGTCGAATAAGGTCGTCAACAGCGGCAGCACCTTGTTCTGCTTTCCTGCTAAGCTGGTAGCGAGACTTAATATTGGGACACAAGCCAAAGAAGCACTTGTTTTTTGCTTTGCCTTGAAGATCCTTCACCTTCTTTTCCTCTTCATTGATTACCTTGTCCACTGTTTTGCTCCAATGTAGGACGTCCGCTTTTATCTTCTCTCCGTTCCTGTCCGCAGCGTCAACCTGTTTCTGCACACTTGTTCTTTTTGCTATCAACATCTGAAGTTTCTCGTTGAACTCGTTAACATTGTTCTTGTAGATGATTACATATCTGATATGAAGATTAATTTCTTGGAAGATGCCTTTCGCAATCT